ACAGAGAGGGCTTGAATTCTGATAATATCTGGGAACAAAAAAGAGAAGTGCTTCCTTTATCTCTAAAAAGGAGAGATAATCTGCTGAACAACCTTTGGTCTGAACAATAGTATCTTGACCTGCTCAGACCTACCTTACGTCTATTTCCACCAATGTGAATTAACTTTAATCTCGGTTCAACTTATTCTTTATCTTTTTCTAATTTTAAGAAAAAGATAAAATAAAACCGAGATTAAAATTAATCTTAATTACACTGGTAGAACTGAACTCTTAATAAGTCGGAGTTTCATAAGAAGAGTTCTGAAAATAAAAGAAAAAACAGCCATTCTCAATAAATATTACAATACTGATATGAAGCCAATAAAGAAATTAATAATTTTACATTTAAAATTTGTCCAGCGCAAATTAAAAAAAAAAGAGGAAAGAATTTGAAGATTTTTCCTTGTAAACACACTGAAAAAGAAGTGTTTAATTTTAAGATATTAAAATGTTTTATTCTTGTCTCCATTTTTTTAAACATTTGTATTATTTATTGATTGTATTGTAATATTTATTGAGAATGGCTGTTTTTTTTTTATTTTTAGAACTCTTCTTATGAAACTCCGACTTATTAAAAGTTCAGTTCTACCGGTGTAATTAAGATTAATTTTAATCTCGGTTTTACTTTATCTTTTTCTAAAACTAAAATATCTAAGTGTTTAAAACATAGGGACAAGAATAAAACATATTACTTTTTACAGTGCAGGTTTTTTGAGAATTTTGGAAATTTGCGGTGATCCTGCTGCTTGTCTCGTCGTCCCTGCATCCGTCAAGGTGCATGTGTCAGCGCGTGTCACACGTCTTATTTATGCATATCGTTTCTCTCCTCATGATCGCATTCCGACCTTGATCCTGTAGACGTAAGCGAACCGCGAATAAGTGCGTTTCTAAGCTAAGCTCGCTTCAGACGATCGATAAGTCGCGGAGAATTCAGAATAATGTTCTATTTACACAAATAGGAAATAAAGGCCCTAAACTGGATCAGTCAAGCTGGATCGTTTAAATAATTCGGTGTGAATTTATATATTCATATTTAATCTTGCAAACTGCGCGTTTGAGTTTAATTTTCAATCTTGAAACGCAATCCTACTAGAGTAGTAATATCACAAATTAAATTGGCAAGCAATTTAATAATATTGATGCTCATATCTTAGAAGGATTTTAATTATTATCTGTTGCTGAGATAAGTGTGTTAAAATCTGTAATTTTATTACAGAAAACGAAAAATATATACCTCATCTAGGATTTATAATTTTCTATTTATAATTTTATGTATGCAGTAATGAAAAGCAATTGAAAAATGAGAAGACACATGTATTTTTTAAATGCATTCGCATCACAAACTTCTATATCTTCCTTTCTATTTTTTTTTAAATAAAAATCTTTGATTCGCATGTCACACAAAATGCATAGCATAAAAAATTAAAACGCAACGATTTCCGTCTTAAAATATCTGACGAGAATTAGAAATCGTCTAAAATGGGCGTAAACAATTTCTCGGTAAGGAAGAACGCTTTCTTTTCTTTTACGTGACTTCCGCTTCTCTTACAAACTCATTTTCACCATTCTCATTCTTATTTTCTCCAAAAAAGACTTATATCATATTCCTAGAAATTAACGTATGTACATCCTGTAACTGAATCACGAAAATTATGTCGTAGTTGCGCGACACGAGTCATCGCTGAATAGAATTCCTCCTCAAGACGCAAATGTCTCACCTCGAGAAGATCTCGACGCGCGATCTACAGGATGACGCATTATGCCGGCCACAACTGACATAACTGTGGAAGATTCAACGCGGTCGATTAGAATAGAATCTAAATTAGGTCAAACGGCGAACACTTTCCTCCGCGTTATCGCGTGCACGCGAAAGACCCGCGTCTTATAATTTGCAATGACTTTGCGAGAACAAAGTGGGTCATTGTGTGCAGAGGTACATTTAATTTGATTTAATTTGCATTCGAAAATTGTGACAACTGAATACTCGTATGAGAAAAACAAGAAAGACAAAATAATGTCATACTGACTGAATCATGATAAAAAAAATAACAAATTCGGTTAATATGACGTCAAATTGATTTATTTTTATTTTCTTGTTCTCCTTGAGTGAGAGTAAAAACATGATAGCTATTTATTAGGAAAAATTATTTTATTATATATGTGTATACGGTGTACAAGTGGGAGATTCATCTCTCGCAACATCAATATATATCTATATAGAGAACTTATGTACAAATATATATAATTAATCCCTACAAAATTTTTTAAAAAACAATATAGATAAATGGACGGATTAGTTGAGATTTGTGCATTACACATTTAATAATATTTACGACATCTAGTCGTGCATCATTTATAGAAAATGTATCATATAATTTAAATTTCTGTCAACGCAAGTCAATGACTTCTAGTCCTTATATATTTAAAATATATATGTATCTTAGATAATATATCGACAGATCCTATAACGTTACGATGAGTAAATGCGTAACAATTAATATAAAATTATTAGTCTTCAAAGAGATTTATCCGTGATACATGGTCAGTGGATAAAATTTGCGCTTACGCGATCATTTGATACATCGCGAATGTTTGTTCGATTACGATGTAAAAATATGCTAAATGGTCGTATGCGTTTTTTGTTCCTCGTTCAATATTCGATCCTGCTTCTTTCTATGTCTACGTCCTTCGATCAAGTATAAGACACCAGCAGCTATCAGGACAAAACTGCCGACGACGGCTAAGGCGAAGGACCAACTGATATCATTGTGCTCCCAATTGGGCATCCAATCTCGTCCGTCACCTCTGGCGCCGAATATAATCACCGATATAACACCACATATTCCTGCCATAGTTAAATTGCCACCGGCTGTCCATAGGAGCAGCTGATACTTGTCATGCTGACGCGAGCAACAAGTATACAAAATAGTCAGGAAACTTCCTATCAGCAACAAGGTGAAGCACAGCGTGAAGAAGAACTGCGTGGCGACGAAGAAATCGGGCAGAAGCATGTCGTGTATGATGTAATACTCTTCCTCAAACACCCACCAACATCCATAGAATCTGGTATCATAGAGATGACGTGGATCCTGGAATCCTTGGAAACACACCTGCCAGAGACCTGCAAACAGCATTGTTTTTCAATCGCTTTGTCGCTGCCAGCTGTCTCATGTTTATATAATCACATTATTGAAAGATAAATTATTAATTAGATACAGTAGAAAGGAATACGTTTCAAAATAGGTTTTCAAATATAATTACCATTCCATGAAAAACTTAAAAAATTCTGTGATAGGAAACAGAATAAATAAAATAATAATTTTCTGACGACCAATCCTATTATATGTATATAATACAGCATAAATATTCAAAATGATAAAAGTAAATAAAACGAATTTGGTTGAACACACTAGTGTCACTGCACTGGTGCATTAAAGTCGTTGTACACTGATTTAATCTGTAAAAGTAAAATTCAAGTAATTTGAATTGTAAAATACATATTTCACTCAACAATACAATAAAATGTATCGAGGATTTCACGGTTTAACCTGTTTCTATATTTATATGGAACACACAGCTTAACATCTTCAATTTGTATACGACGGCTTTAATTAATATGCACCTTATAACAGAGTCTGACCATAGGCGATTTTGTCAAAATCTTATGAGAGAAAGATATATATAATTCTCCCTGTATATGTACTATCTCATTCTAACTTCTATCGTTTCACTCTATAACTTTAATTAAGATAGAGTGGGATAGTATAAGTTCTCAAGAAACACACCAAGTCAAAAGAAAATCAAAATGACTTTATTTTGACGTCATGAAAGTTGGTTACAAAATTTGACTGTCTATTGACGTTAAGAATTAAAATAGTAATTTTGTTGACTTTTATATGTTCTTTGGGTTAGAGATAGTATATATATCTAATATTCATTTCTACCAATTAGTAGCGAATTCGGTCACTTGCACTACATAGGGAGAAATTGTAAGTACCTTTCTTCTAGGATTTTGACAAAATCGTTCATAGCCAGACTGTAATACAGGATCTTTAATATGCATCAGTGCGCACTAAGTATATTCAATCGAATTTGCTAATGTAACAAAACTGATTTCCACCAATGTAGATCAACTTTAATCTTGGTTCAACTTACTCTTCATTTTTTCTGGTTCTCAAAATTAGGAAAAAATGAAGAGTAAGTTGAACCGAAACTAAAGTTAATCTACATTGATGGAAACGAGCATAAGAGACACCAAAATTGACAACTCCTTTGTATTTACGTCCAATATTTCAATATAAATTTTAAATATAAGTTATTTATGGATGCAAGTATAGACGTATACGCATCCAGTCACGTATAATCTTACCAATCTTGATGAATTGTGGATTATCCAATTTCCCGTCGGTCGCCAGCCAGTTGGGTGTGGTGAACGCGATCACCACCAGAACGAACGCCACCGCCGTGCACACGACGGCGGCCTTGCCCGTCCTCGTCTTCCCCATTACTCGCGAGCGTCACTCGAATATATACGTAACGAAAGACGGAATGTAAAAAAGGAAGCGTAAACTCCTCGTGTTCGCTGTATATTGTCGTATCCCACCTGGAACGCAGAAGTATGCGACTTACTCTCGGAGGAAGCTTAGCTCAGCGCGCGAGCGCTAGAGCGCGTTGTTTGCGCCGGTTGCGCGTTCCGCAATATCCCCTTCTCCTGGAATTTCAACGACCTTTCGCTCCCCTGCTTTGCGGAGGAACTTTTTGTGTCCATTAAAGAAAATTAAGTCATTAAAATTTTGTTATCCTTTCAAATTTTCTCTTTTTGCCTGTCTTCTTTTTATCGCAGAGCACACGCTTCTGTAAACTAAAACTTCTTCAGAGTTATACAATAAAATAATAGACCTAGAACAATTTTAATAAAGGTATATTTACCGAATAAAGATTTTAATAATTTTTCTCGACAGTCTGGTACGAGCCCACGGATGTTAAAAAGGCGGCGAAGATATTCCAAGTTGGACCACAGTGGAAAAACGTACTGCACTTTGTCTCGCCTAACCAGAACGAGCTGAAAGTAATAGGCGAACACTTCAACATCCCCGTTTCCGAGAGTATGGACCTGGTGGCTACAAAAAGCGTGGCTGAACAGTTGATCGAACACGTTCCGGTTGTCGTGACCACCTTAGGGGCACAGGGAGTGTTGGTTCGCATCCCGATTGCGTTTTAAATTCGCTGTCTAAAATTCATTTCTACCAATGTAGATTAATAGCGAATTTCGTTATTGCATTACACTAAATTAGATCATATTAAAAGCAGCTATTCATGAAATTATATACATAGTAAATATAGAAACATGTAAATATTTTAAGCTTAAACGATTAAATACCCAATGATGATATTATTATGTTATTTAACAGAATATACGTGTATTATTGTTAAAGTTGATTTCATTATCTAATTATGTAAAAGAAATCCTATTTTCGGTCAAAGCGGATCTTGTGCTCGTTCAATTCTGCAAACCGCGCGAAATCTTTTTCAGTCTTGAAACGAAATTACGAACAGAATTAAAGTAATAATATCATATATTAAATTGACAAGTAATTTAATAATATTAGTGTTAATAATATGTTATAAGAATATTAATATATAATTTAATGTTAATAAGAATCATAAAAACTGCGAATGGTTTATTGCAAAAAATATTACCTCAGCCAGGTAATATCACAGCAATTATTAAATTGCTGTGGTATTACTTTTCTGGTTCTGTTTATGATTGCGTTTCAAGACTGAAAAAGATTTCGGCACGTGGTTCGCAGAATTGGATGTATATAAATTCACATCGTGAAATATTAAAACACTATGATCCGCTTTGACCGAAAATAGGATTTCTCTTATATAATTAGATTTATTCTCATGGGTCCAACTTCAAATTATTGCCGCGGTGTTTTATGTAGACACTTTATATAAAGCAGCCTTTAATGAGTACTAATCCAGCGTAGTGCGAGTAATTGAATTTATCACATTTAATCTTGGTTTAATTTATTCTTTTATTTTTCTTAGACAAATGAGAATTTTATAGTTATTTTTTAAATCTATTATAATTCTCTCTCTAATCGAGATATCTAATCACGATGATTGGAATTCCGATTAATATGGATAGGAAGTTTCATTCATCTTCAACTGAAAATATTTTTCTCAGTGTAGATAACGATAAAAATTATAACCCGAGATTAAAATTAATCTATATTGGTAGATATAAATCAACGATGTTTCGACATATGTACGTTAACTTTCTATTTTGCAGGTGACCCGAAAAGCTTTGCAAAACGAGCCCTTCTACGACGAGCGTGGCGAACTGATCGCCGACTCCTCGGTCGCGTCCCGATTGTACCCCGCCGTCGACGGCGCGGAAAAGGCGAGCGAGATACTCAGCGTAAGCGGGTGCGGAGATTGCCTCACTGCCGGAATAATTTACGGGATTCATAAGAATCTCGACGAGATCGGTTGCATTTCTGTGGCTCTGAAAGCCGCTTCACTCTCGCTGAGGTCCTTCGACGCGGTTCCACGAACGCTTCGAGACGCTCTCCGGCGATAAAACTTCGTCTTAATACAATATTTTTTATAATTAATTTATTATAACTAATTGTCTACGATTAGACTTAAATCTTGAATTATATCCTACTTTTTATAAATACGTACTTTGTTATTATACCTATCGATGATCATATTCTTAGAGAAAATAAAGGACAATCTTGAAAATTTTAGTCTTCATTCATAAATATTTCCAAACTAGTTTGTGATTGTCAGAAGTCGATGCATTAATATTTCTAAAATTTTCTTATACAATATACTTGAGATAAATCCTAATAAGTAAAGCACAACTCAATATAACATTAAAATGACATCAAAATAGCTGCAAATATGATTAAAAATCACTTTTCAATCAATCACGATTCGTTTTGATGTCATTTTGATATTATTGTGACTGTAGCTTTGTTTAAGCTAATACTGCTGCTGTACAGAGAGAAAAATGTTTGGTATTTGTAACTATAATTATATATTACTATAATTATGATTATTACTGCTATAATAATAATAACAGTAACTATATATATAGTTCCAGCAACAAATGTATATAATTGGCAACCTAAAATGACTATAATTATAGTTGTTATAACCATAAAATAGTTGAAATTACCATAAAAATGGTTCAAGTGACTATAATTTTATAGTTATATTTTGGGACAACTATATTTTTTATGGTTGTCCCAAAATATAACTATAAAATTATAGTCACTTGAACCATTTTTATGGTAATTTCAACTATTTTATGGTTATAACAACTATAATTATAGTCATTTTAGGTTGCCAATTATATACATTTGTTGCTGGAACTATATATATAGTTACTGTTATTATAGTAGTAATAATCATAATTATAGTAATATATAATTATAGTTACAAATACCAAACATATTTCTCTCTGTGTGCATAGAACTAAATTTGTCAGTAGTTTCCATAAAAATTCGTTCATTAGTATTAGACATTGGAATAATAATTAGAAAGGAATTTCCTGTAAATTATTGATGAAAAACAAAATTAAATTTGGAGAAACAATAAAGGAATTTAAAAGATAGCTACTTGAAATAAAGGACTGTTCTTTACAATAGAGGACAGAATGAGCACCGTAACCGTACTACATAATTACTAGTATTACTACTACTACTACTACTAACTAAATTGTTATTTTACATTGATTAGTCGCGCAAGGGATTAGTAGACGACGTATTTGTAAAATCAATATGGATGTTTTTCCACCTACGCGGCGTTTCCGATGTTTGTATCGGTGGTCGCCGGTAGGTTGGAATTATCGGACACGACCGATAGCCCATCCCCGAACGTTCTTTTCCCAAGATCTTTCAAAGACGCGACAAAAGCAGCCGCGCGCGAGGCGTAGAACGGACAACGCATTCCCCAAAGCGCAACAAAGTGTACGCTGCACGGTGATGCGACAAGTCGATCGAAAAAAAAAGAAGTAGGTCTCACGTGCACCTTCCGCACCGTTCGCACTCGGGACAACGACGGACGTGGACGGACTCCGAGCGCACGGCATTGACGAGACGAGGACGGAACGTCGGGAGTGCAGCCAGGTGTAGCAAGACCCGAACACGAAGCAACACGAACTGACACGAAGTGACGAAGCTGCAAGTAGTGTAGCGGCTACGCGAACGGAGTGGCGGGGGACCAATGGCGGCGCGTCGGAGGCGATCACGTGGCATGCTCCATGTCGTTACGTGTATACTCGAGCGACCGAGAGGGCGCGACCTGCGGGACCGAGAGAGACGGACTTTCGGGGCGAGTGCGTAAACACGAGGGAGATAGGTTAGATTCGTATTAAAGAGAAGGAGAGTGCGACGGTGGCTAGGCGGCGGCGGGGGGGGAGGGGTGGGTAGCACACATACGCGCAATATGCCCTTATACTCCGACCGCGTACTCTCGCGGGCAGACGTATTCATTGGTATATACGGTATATACACATACACGCCGCGGTAAACGTAGAAACGAAAGAGCGAGAAAGGGAGAGAGGGAGAGAAACGGACCAAGCGAGCGCCGTTACGATAAAAGACAAGTTTTTCGGAGAGCGTATTCGCTTCGCAGAGCTGTTCAATGGTTGTGGCAGCTATGCTCCACGCTGTCGTCGTCGCCGCCGCCGCCGTAGGGCGCTTAACTAGCTAGTTCCGACGGGCCACCGTCTCGGTGCTCGTCAGTTAATAAACGAGCACGAGTACGTTACGACGCGCTAGCGCGACTCGGATCTCGTCGTCGTCGCTACCGCCGCTACCACCGTCACCGTCTCGCTGTTGCCGTTGCCACCATCGTCGTCCACCGCCGTTAACCGTCTCCCCCCGAAGATGACCATAATAGTATTTTTGATCGACACGTCGGCCTCCATGAATCAGAGGGCTTATTTGGGTGGGCGGCCCACGCTCTTGGACGTAGCCAAGAGCGCCGTGGAAACCTTCGTCAAGGTACGCCCCGGACAGCAGCTTTTACCCGTCCCGTCCCGTCGCGCCACGCCGCGCCGCGCCGAGCCGAGCCGAGCCGAGTCACCGTCCTCGTCGTCGTGTCCGTACGGGATGCACAGGGATGGAAGGGGACGAGGGAAAAGAAGAGGGAAGTATATCTATCTCTTTCGTCTTCCCTTTCCGCGTTCTCTCCGTCTCTCTCTCTCTCTCGTTCGGTCACCTAGCCTTCTCGATGACGAGGAGGGTAACGCGTACCGTGCTCCGAACGTGGGAAGCGTGTGCGTGAAGAAAAAAAAAGGCAGAAAAAAAATATAAGTGAAATAATCCTTTTTCCAGGTACGACAGAGATCGCCGGAGAGCCGCGGGGATCGTTACATGCTCCTGACCTTCGAAGATCCACCTCAGAACATTAAGGTATATCCTCAGTCACGCGTCTTCCCCTTCTCTTTCTCTTATCGTTTTCTCTTTCGCTCTTACACCTCCTTTGTATCTCCCGCATCTCCTTTACATGTGTCTTTTCACATCGTTTAATTTAGCCTATCTTTGCGAAGATGCTCCCTGAGAGAGGTGTGCACTCTCTCTCCCTCCCCCTCCACCTCTCTTGAGCCGTTCTGAGTTTAGGTTAGGTTCGCTTAATGGCGCCGAATAATTAATGCGCGATGGATATATGAAGGAGCGGACGGACGTGCACGAACGTGTCTCTGCTCTGCGTCAGTAATATGGCTCTCTCTCCTCTCTCACCACCTTCGTCCCCGCCTTCGTTCTCTGCCCTATGCACACGGCTGCGAAAGATGCGCGTCGCTGGAGGTGCAATGGCTGGGAAAGAAAGCGCCGTCCGAGAGGAAAAGGAAAAGCGCCTTTGGCGCCCTCCTGCATCGCGAATTTTGCGCGCCAATTTTTGCGAGATTCAAACCGTAGTCACCGTTTAAATCCATCCTTAACTCTTTACTCCTTGTTCTTGTCGCTTCAGGATTATAATTCACCTCGTTCTTTTACTTACGGTCTACTCTCCAATCAATCTCTCATGATCCGAAGCATATGATGGATTCGAAACCGAATCTTCTCCCGCATTACTTGTTTTTATGAAGTCTTATAATAAATTCGATGTCTGTTTTTTTTATTTTTGATACTAGACTGAACTTTTTTTCTCAAGTTCCAAAAATGTATACTAGTTCAGCTATAAAAAACAGACTTTTTCAGTTACTTGCATTACACGAGATTAGTACACACTAAAAATTGCTGTATATGAAATTGGCAAGGTATATAAATATAATGTAAAAGTATAAAAATATAAAATATAAAAGTATAAAGTAAAATATATATATATTAATGTAAAGGTATATAAATTTAAACGATTAAAATAATGATATTGTTAATTAAATAATGATATTGTTATTTGATAGAATGTATTATTTCATTGTCAAAGTTCATTATATTATGCCACTATGTTTAGATACTTTAAATATCTAAACTTTTAGATACTTCAAATATAAAGCAGTCTTTTATGTATACTAATTCAGTGTAGTGCAAGTGATCGTTATCGTTATTACTACACGTACAGTTTATGTGAACGATACTTATATATTCCATATGCGAAACTGGATAAATTATCCGAAAATATATATAGAATGTGTCGTAAGACTTGTATTTAAATGTCTTTAAAATTTTAAATTTTGTTTAAAAATATTTGAGTATATTCAACAATATTTTACATAATTCTGTTATTTATGAATTATTAATGAATTTAATCGTACATGATAACCTTGGATTGACCTTTAGCTATGAAAATCTAGAATTACGTAAGGAATTTTTTTGAGATGCATTATTATTTTATCTAATTTATGATTTTAGAATATATATGAGAAGCATTTGAAATTATCCATACTTTTTATCTCTCATGTACTTTTTAGTATTTTTAAACTCAATAGGGGAGGAAGGGAATTCGATGATTTATTTTGCACAAACGTAATTGCCTTTATTTTATTTAAAAAAGATATAAGCTTAAATTAAGTTAGAAATTAACTTGGGTGAACTGTTTCTCATGGGACCAATATTTTTTCAGGCAGGATGGAAGGAGAACTTGGCAACCTTTATGAACGAACTCAAAAACTTACAATGTGTCGGTTTGACAACGTTAGGTGCCGCCTTGAAGCACGCGTTGGATGTGCTGAACATAAACCGTATGCAGACTGGTATAGATACATACGGCCAAGGGAGATGTCCGTTTTATTTAGAACCATCCGTTATAGTTGTTATAACAGACGGAGGAAAATATACGACTAACAGCGGAGTCCACCAAGATGTAAGTGAAATCTCCTGCCTTTACTATTAAATAAAGTAGGCGATTTCTTTTTCATCGTATAAGGACAAATGAATTTCTTTTGTAGTTTACGTTGCCGATGCATTCCCCAATACCCGGATCCGAACTGACAAAGGAGCCATTTAGATGGGACCAAAGATTGTTCTCTTTGGTGCTGCGTTTATCAGGAACACCAGCCGTCGAACGAGACATCGGCTTGGTGGCGAGTGACGCATCACCAATAGATGCAATGTGTGAAGTGACCGGAGGTAAAGGAGATGCAGCTTGTAATCTTAGCAATCTTGGAATAGCAAATAATTTCCTCTAATGATGTGCTATAAAAGAATTGAAATAAATTTTGAATTTGTTTCTTGCATGTTATAGGTCGTTCGTACTGCATTACATCGTTCAGGATGATGATACAGTGCATAGATTCTCTGGTGCAGAAAGTTCAATCAGGTGTAGTGATAAATTTCGAGAAAATCGGTCCTGATCCACCGCCGTTAGCCAACGAGGCCCCACAACATCAGGACGAGGAGGAAAATGAGGACGATGGTAACGCAACGAACGGACCGCGCACTCAGTATCCCAACGCGTTAGCGCCGGGAAACACGGCTTGGTATTCCTGCAGACGCCTGATCTACGTACCGCGGTCAGCCCAGAAGGGGTTTGCGGTAGGTTTTTGGCCGATTCCGGAAAGCTTCTGGCCGGATCTTAGCGCCAGCTCATTACCGCCACGATCGGCGCATCCGAATGTGAAATTCACGTGCACCAGCCAGGAGCCAATGGTGATCGAAAACTTACCGTTCGACAAGTACGAGCTGGAACCAAGTCCCCTGACGCAGTACATCCTAGCGCGGAAACAGCCGACAACATGTTGGCAAGTGTTTGTTGCCAATTCGTATAAATCAAGCGAAGTGGGCCACCCGTTCGGTTATTTGAAAGCTAGTACAAACTTAACTTGTGTAAATCTCTTCGTCATGCCTTATAATTATCCCGTGCTGTTACCGCTGCTGGAAGAGCTCTTCAAGGTACATAGGCAAAAACCGACACCTGAATGGAGGGCGCAATTCCAGGGTTATATAAGGACCATGCCTACCTATTACGCCGCCGTAAGTATTCCTATATTTGTGTGAATAATCACATATTCTGAAAACATTTTTATCAAAACATTGTTTATTGCAGTCGTTGAGGAGAGCGTTAACCAGGATGGGTGCGTCCGCGCCTCTAGCACAAACCTTGATACCCGATAACATGGATAATTCTTTATCATATAGTGTTTTAAATTATTTAAAACGGTTAAAGAATCAAGCTAAGATCGAATTTGATCGGCTGTGTAACGAAGTTATTTCCAAGCAAGTCGCTGCTTCGAATCTTACGAAGAATTTATCTAACTGTACGACGAGTGTGGTGACGGAAGGGGTGAGAGTTGTACCGAAGACACCGTTGAAAAAAGATTTGGTAAGATTTAATACATTAAAAGATATAAAGATTGAAACATCACATTTAATACATTATCATAAGTTACTTTAAAATGGCTTTAATTGTTACTAAAGTCTGTGTGTATGTGTATGCTTTGTAGGTGTCCCATCCTTTGTTACAAGACAAGTTCACGGGTCTCCGCGATCAACTGAACGAGTTCGGAGGTTTCGTTGTCGGGTTAGTGAAGAATCAACAGCAGCAACGTGGTGCGCACAGTTATAGGAATGCCTTCGACGTGCCGAGAAAGTCCCTGCTCGATCAAGTCGTGCGAATGCGCGCAAATTTCCTGCAACCCGGCTTGTTGCATACAAAATTACTCGACGATGATTACGTTCATTCGATGCCTTTAGCCCAAATGGGAAATTATCAGGAATACCTAAAACGTATGACTCCGCCGTTGAGAGAGATTGAAAGTGTACCAGTTAGACAGCATATGTTCGGTAATTATTCAATAAAAGTAACTCTTCTATGATGCATAACTTTGTATATAGGAAGATAATTAATGTTATATTTCTATTACAGGTAATCCCTTCAAAATAGACAAAAGGATGATGGTAGATGAGGCGGATATTGATATAGTCGGCGCAACATCCTCAACATCGAAAGGCGGTCTCAAGCGTACCTTGCCGCAATCGGATAACGCAGGCTCATCCTCCCCGAAGCCACCTCCTAACAAGAGGAAGCCTGGACCCATACCGAAAGACGTGATCGTTCGACGACCCTCGTATAGTAATACTCCACCGAGTTCCCCGATTCCTTGGATGATGGAGGACACGAAGAGTCAAGTGACGGTGACAGTAACAGCAGCAGCAGCAGCAACAACACCAGTCGCCGATACGAACACTCCGCCGATCTTATCTTGTTTGCCCAACGTATCGCCGGGTCACGCGTCGTTACCGTGTTCAAGCGCGTCCGAAAAGTTGGTAAACGGTCTCGCGGAAATGCCAATCATACCAGTTTTCGAACCAATCCCGGTGGAACACGTTAACAATCATATGGACACGCCGCCCGTTTTGACGCCGATAGTTAACAATGTCGATGCAATATCGAAGGGTGATGTTAAAAGTGAACGAACGGATAATGTGAAGAACGAGTGTAATCGGTTACCGGTTAATGATTGTATCGAGAATAATATGCGAGTGGACAGTGCCGCTGATGAGAGACTGACGAATCACGTAGAAGAAAAACGCGAGCCAAAGACCGAGAAAGAGAAGAAGCTGACGAAGAAGGAATTGGAGGACATCAGGCGGCACAATTTGAATATACGGGAACTTGTTTACAAGGAAGTGCGAAGAAGAGGGAAAAGTAAGTCTTCAACGCGCCAATCGATTCTCTTTTATATCCTGAGAAACGTCGCGAGATTAATGATTAACAAAAAATTATATCTATCGCTAACGATTCTCGTAACAGCGTTAACACGTGACCAATTCATTTCGTTTCAGATTACGCAACACTGTTCTCACATTTACATCAAGTTCAGGGGACCCTAGATATACGACTTGCGTTTGTAAAAGACATAGTAAAAGAATCATTACGCTTTAAACGACGTAACTTGGCGTCACTGTTAGAAGAATATCTTAAAACCATTCAAGAGGACGGTTGCGCTATAAATCACAAGCTGAATCACAATGGTGCCACGAAGATAAGTTGTTAAGATATGCGTAACCAGGACATTGTCTTAATAGTGTGAAGAACATAAATTGCGAAGGAGCTCTTGTGCAAGTTTTTGCCAAAGATTTTTAGTAGTGGGTTTCGATCTTTTCGAAATAAGATTACTTTTGATAATCAGTGGAAAAAATTGCGCAATTTTGAGGTCCTAGCAAATTTCAATAGCATTCTCGACGTCAACCATGTCACTTTTGTTTATCTTTTGGCTTTGTAAATTATCAATAGAAATTTTAGATATATGTCACATGGAAGGGTGCTAGCTTAATGTTAGGACAGCTGCTTGACGAGTGAAAGATCAGGGTCCGACTCCTGGACTTGTCATCCCGTTTATATAACACTAAGAATTTTGTTTGGGAAGAATATTCTGATACGTAATATGTATATTTTCGTGAAAATGCTTATATAAAATTTAAAAGTTTGGAAGCTTTTAGATATCACTCTGCAGACATAAATTAAAGCAATGATTTTTATCACTCCATTAGTAATCTGAAGAAAACGGAGCAATATTTGACGATGTGTACTAAATTTTGTTTAATTATATTTCTCGATTAATAATATATATAGTCTTTTCCTAAAACTTAATTGTTTTAAGTCTTAATCCGAAAAGAGATCCAAGATCTTTTTCATCTTGGATACTCTAAAATATCCTAAGTAACACAATCGTAACGTGATATATCTGCGCAACATATGGAATCCTTCACAAATACACGCGTATCTGTATATCGTTACATGTAAATACATTCGCACATTTGTTTCATCGTCTATTATATAATGTACTTTTCCATAATCTCGGAATTCTGCCGGATATCATTTGGCGCACATATAAAAACGTCTTGGATGCTGGCATACAAGACAATAATTGCGTGTATGTAAAATAATAATGTTGAATGACTATATTAATCTTTTAAATACGAATTCACAATGTTTCAGAAGTACAAGTGCAATCAAATGAATCGGTGCATAATTCTATCCAATCCTCAGCGCTCATGTCGGATTTAGGATATAGTTATATTACTCTTACAATTTACATCTCCTATTACATTTAATCTGTCTATAATCACTTGTGATCTATATTATTAAGTTTAATAAAATGCCATAGTTTAATACACACACTGTACCGAATTGTCTAAATTTTGTTGTGCACTTTGTTGGATGTCAAAAGCAAAGATCTGGCTTTCTATTGATGGTACATTATACAATAATCGCGCGATTTCTATATAAAGATGAGAACATATCCTTTATTATCTGTGAAGCAAGAGATTGTAGAGAAAATCGCACATCGTAAAAGAATTTATTATTATGTAAATTACTGAATTAAAATATTACTAAGGAACTGAATAGGGATTCTTGGTTGTAGTGGATTCTTCTTCTTTTGCGAGTTGCAACATTTAGCTTTCGTATGCGAAACTTATCGTAGATAGGATTGTACCAAAAAATATTTGTGTATATTTAAACGAGACACTAAATGCAGGTTTGAATTTATTGCGAAATCTACGAAGGGTTGACAGTGCCTGATGCTATTTGAAATTGAGATAATATATTCAACCCACTATGTCTCCCAAAAATTTTTTAATATGTTAGTTTATTTTACACAAATATATATATATATATATGTTTTAAAACTTTAACTGTCATTTTTAATTAAATATACATTGTACATCAGGAACAATGTAAAAAGTACACAAAATTCTCTATTATTTTATGATAAATTTTCTGTTATATTATACAAAATGTTCATATATGTAATATGTACACATGCACGAGCACGGACACACACCACACGCGCGCGAAAAATGAATATAACAAATTTTATATAAGAAAATTCCAAGGACTTTTTGCACTACGATATTGTGCTATTTTAGATTGAATTTACTTTGTGTACAAATTCAAAACAAAGTATAGTATAACAGAATCAAAACTGTGTTACATATTTAAAATAACATATGGAGCAAAATGAAATCTATGTTTTGTTCTCAAATCCTTATATGTATGTATAACATGGCTTCAAAATTCAAAATAATGTTATATTCTTTCAAAAAATTACTTCATTAATGCACATGTGGGTTGAAGGAATGTATGTTAATAGCGATAATTATTTATATACCATTACTAGTTATACAAATATGACAAAATCGCTTACTGATTTATATCGGAAATGATTTGACCAAATATAGGATAATAATAGATAGACAAGGATGATTATCTTACTTATTATTCGTTCTTGTGATTTTTGTATTTATTGTATTTATTGTATATATTATATATCAAGTATCAATTTCCATTATCTTGATTTCCTTTAAAAGGACATAGATAGAAATTAGAACGTTGACAAAACGAAGACATATCATATTATTAAATTATATATTGTAAAAATTATTTTATACGTGGTCTTTAGAACATTTTTTTTATTTACGAAAGAAGTGATATTCTTTTCACGGATTAATAATTTGAAGTTCTTGTTGATATTTTGTTAATATTCTAAGTAAGATAATCAACCGTATCTTCTCTTGTGGACATTAATGATGTCCAATGCTCTTTAGAGAATATGGCAATGGATCGAAATTGTATTTATTAGTTGAAAATACGTTGAATATCTTGTAAATTATTTTATACTAATGGAGCTTAGCTGAGTCTTGTAAAGACAATGATGCTAGACGCTTATTTGCTCCAAAGAAAAATGAATAGAGAATTATTGAATTATTGATGTAAAAATTAATATAAAACTAAATGCGATTGTATAAAAGAGATTAATGAGTAACTAGAGAAAATGTTTCGAAGTTTCAAGTACCTTGATTGCAGTCCTTTTTTGTTACAGCAGCAGTAATTTATTATTATACTGAAACTTGTTAAAATGAATTAGTTTTAAAATGATTCTTTTTCACAAATTCATTATTAAATTTGTATACAGTGTGCTTCACCAAAGGAAGATCATGTTTCCGCACACTGTTGTGATAGCTTTAATAATTATATACAGTTTAATTTTGTGTGCAAGAGCAATAAACTGCGATATGATCCAAAATAATTAAATTTGTCGATAAACTTTGTAAGGCGTTTGCTAATAGAATCAATGCGTCATGTTCAACGATATATGAGTCTGCTAGTATTCTTTATAATTCCTGTGCAGTCATGTCACTGGACCTGCTAACAAAAAAAAATAAGCATAATGCGCAATTCCAATCTGTTACAATATGCTAATCGAATCACTAAACTTTATTACCTGGCATTCTACATAATTATATGAAAATGAAATTCAAGCTAAATATGTTCTCCCATTAAAACAATGTTGCGAAAATAATGTACTTAAAAAAAAAGAAAAAACAAAATAATATATCATCTCTTTCAGATCATATTTGTATCTTTTTTATGATTTGTTTCTATGGCACGGAATGGAAATAGGATCTGTATTGTACATCTCATTTAATGTATTATTCAGTATTAATAAATGTTGCGATCACTATTTTTTCACACCACTTATAATAGTGACGATGACGGCACACTTGCATTATTGTATATATGAAATTGTACATAAAGCGTGTATTAGTCATAATTATTATAGATGAGATTCATATTGAAAGGACTGTCCCGTTTTTACGTTTATATTTTAGGTAAAACGATAAGTAAATCTCGAAAAAAGCGAATAAACAAATTGACACAAATCTCTCCGTTGTATGTCTTTTTTTCCCCAAAACAATCTCATTGATTAGAGTCTACAAACAGACTCAGGTTTTCGTAGTTGAGTTTCTTGAAAGATTTCGCTGGTTTCGCCTTTCCTCCTTTTCTCTCCAATTATCTCAAGTGTAGAAAGAACAGATCTTAAGTTTGTTTTGTACTTGAGTTTTTATATAATTTTTCTCTTTCTACTCAACTTCTAATTATATATTTATTTTATTTTAAGAAATATAACAATACATCCACAAAGATTAGACCTATAATCAGATGTTTCTTGCATTATATGAATATTCTACATTATATAGACGTTTTCATTATCTAACACTTGTACGACGTATATCTTACGCACCGGCTTTCATAACCTATAAAATCGCGCTCGTTATTTGCAAAGATTTAACGATTCAACTAAACGACTCTGCTTGATCTACGGATCTATTTAACAGTCTGGCACTGTGACTTCATCAGAGAGTCGGAAAGCCAATCAGGGGATACTGAAGAAGAAGAATTAACTAAACTGAAGAGATCTTAACATTTAGGTATTCATCAAGATTTCATAATGCAGTAATTCTTGTCATATTTTTCAACTTTCAATGGGTAACATCTCCAAATTTTAATTCTAGGCGTTTAGTTTAGTTTCAACATGTCGAGAGGGATGTGCTATAGGAACTGTCTTAGAAAATATTTGATACAATGGAAATATACAGATTCTCATCGAACGCGAGCATGTCGCAAGATTCATGGAACGATCTCTATGTCTTCGCATGCATCAGCAGTTAATGCAGATGCAACTGAGCGAGCTGCTATAGATAAAAAAACAATGAGGAATATCAGAGACGGACCCTCCTTGAAGGATTTCTTGAGCCCGTCTGTTATTAATATTCCCAGCGAAAAGCCTGTTCCGTACGTGCAAAATATTCGTGGCGAGAATCAAAAAGGTTTCTCAGACATCTATCTATCATAATTGTTTTGTATCATTTGACTTTGTGCTTCATCTTTACTTTCTCTGTTCGTGCTAGTGTACTTTGAAATTTTCGGTTGTCAAATGAACGTCAATGATGCTGATATAATATGGTCAATATTGAAATCACATGGCTACAAGCGTACGGAATGTCTGGACGATGCAGATATTGTATTATTGGTCACCTGTTCTATCAGAGACAATGCCGAGCAGAAAGTATGGCGTAAGTTGGAGAACTTAAACGGAGTGAGAAATAAGAGAAAGAGAATCACTAGGTCGCCTATGAAGATTGGTCTTTTAGGCAAGCTTAAGTAATACTTGGTAATATCAAGAAATTTTCATTTAAGTCCTTAATTTATATAAGAATAAATATTTGCATTAGGATGTATGGCCGAACGTCTAAAGACTAAAATATTAGATAGAGGAAAGCTGGTAGATGTAATAGCGGGTCCTGATAGTTACAAGGATTTGCCAAGGCTTCTGGCGGTTACAGATGATGAAACAGCTGTTAACGTCTTATTATCATTTGATGAAACATACGCAGATGTCATGCCAGTTAGACTCAATCATGATTCCACTGGGGCATATGTGTAACGTATATACATATTTTAAAATATATTTCATATTTAAAAAAATACATAAACTTTTGGCTTTTATTTCTATTATCTATATTTTATTTCTATTATCTATAATTTGCAGTTCTATAATGAGAGGTTGTGATAATATGTGCACTTACTGTATTGTGCCATTTACAAGAGGAAGAGAAAGATCACGGCCAATTACAAGTATACTTGACGAAGTTCAGCAGTTATCAGATCAAGGCGTAAAGGAAATAACTCTGCTCGGACAAAATGTAAATAGCTA